TCTCACCTTTGGACTTGCAGTAATACAGCAGGAGGAAAATTAATGTGATTCCAGAAATTAGTCCAACGATCATTAGAAATGAAGAGCTCTCCGAACTGAGCACAGCTGTTGTAAATAAGAAACACAAACTCTTGAATTCAATAATTCAGAAGCTGCTTTAAAGACAATAAATATGTTCAAGGTCTCTGGATTTTTTATTTCTTAAGGATGGGACCTTCAGTCACTGCTGTAGTTTTTTAGGCTTCCCAACTCTTCTTGTTTTTTCTGTGGCTTGTCCAGTGTTCTCAGATATTTTACGGACAGCCTGGACACCGTGCTGAGATGTGCCAAGTGTTCAGCTAAATTAAAAACTCTATTGAAATCATTTTGCTGGTACAAAAATAATATTGTATCAAACTGTGTTATGTTCAGCATTTTTCAGGGATTTAACAAAGAAGGGGAATAAAGTATTTGTTTATGTGACAAGCTGCAAGTAACAAAACATCTAAAGATAAAATTTAAAACAGTGTCTGTAAAGTTTATTTCACAAAATAATTCAACAAAGTGCTACTTTGCTGTTATTGTATTTTAAAGTGGTCAAGGGACTCTTAGTGGAGGGAGTTTGTAATAATAATAGACAAATATTTTTTTTTCTTTTTATTAATTTATATAATTATTTTACACAAATGATGAAGCAACAAATAATCACTGTCTTGTTTATACCAGCTAAATATTTATTACACAAAGTATCTGAAAAAATAAAAGTCCAATATCAGGTCTGTGTCTCACAAAAACAATATGATTTGCTTTCTAGACCATTTACTTCATCCTGTGCTGATCATTGTTATGTTTGTAAAATGTAGCTCAACAACAAACATGACTTACTTGATGCTGACAAGTTGAAGGCTTCACTCCACTTTGTTGAAGAATATGAGTCACCTCTGCGTTGACTCTTACACGTGTAGTCTCCACTGCTGGACTCAGAAACATTGAATATCCAGTAATTACTGTGAGTCCACTGTGTGGTCTGGTTGGGTCCTCTCCATCTATACTCCCACTCAGTGGTTTCACCTCCTTCCTGCACCTCACATGTCAGACTGATCGTCTCACTGCTGAATATCTGAGGCCAGCTGGGTCGTCCTTTAACAACAACCTTATTGGAAACTGTTTATTAACAGTTAAGATACAAACAGAAACATCAGCTCAGCAGAGAAAACTTAACACTGTGTGTCTGAATGTGAATTTTAAACTAGACTGAACTCACAGGTTATCTCAATGGTGACATAATCACTTTTATCAGTGTAGTAAACTGGGTTTCCTCTTCTTCCTCTGCAGTGGTAGATTCCTCCTTGAGATACTCTGATTACTCCGTTTTGTTGATCATCTGTTGTCATTTGATCTTCAGTGTTTTGGTCACGTCTGAACCACTCATATTTCCAGCCAGCAGAGCTCCCCACAGAGCAGTTCAGTGTCACACTGCCCCCTACTGGTATGATAGTTGATCCTGGAGTCAGTGTGGCCCTGGGTTTATCTGCTGTTAGGGGAAAATAAAATATGTATATATATGATCTATTATTATGTAATAAGAACACAGGTCCTGGCTAAAGATGTTTTTCAAAGCTCCTTCCATGAACACATTAATTAAGTGTACACTCTATTTTATAATTTAGATGAATATTTGAATTATTATATTAAGTATATTATATTTATTGGTCATGGTCACTGAGGACTTACCCAGCACAGTTAGGGAGACAGTATTACTGTTCTTTGTATAATGTGATTTCTTCATATGACCAAAGCACTGGTATTTACCAGTATCAGAGGTAGACTTAATTTGTTTTCTGTAATTTTTGTATGTGTTGTACGGGATAAAGGCTCGACCATCCTTGTTGAGTTTGTATTCCCAGTCAGTGCGTTTTCCTTCCTTCATGTCACATCTGAAGGTAACAGTCTCTCCGATGAACATGGTCGAGCTGGGTTCAACAGTTAGCAAAGCATCTAGAATCCAACACAAACACAACATCATTGATCTAAAACACTTTAATGTACTTTACAAATCAAAATCTGTTCTGACATGTTCATAAACTTATAAATATATTGAGAAATAAAAACAGAAATGGAAAGTGTTTAAGATTGATGCATTAAGATGAATATTTACTAAATAAATAAAAGTGAAAACTGTTCAGTCACCTTGAGCGTGTC